AGGGTCACCCACACTGCCGGAGCGTAGGGACACCCACACTGCCGGAGGGTAGGGTCACCCACACTGCTGTAGTACTGTGCAGCTGTGGTCAGTGATGAGATTGAATGGGTGCTGACTCTGCCCCTCCCATTGCAGTGTCAGTAAATACAACCAGATTTAATTGCAAACACTTCTTTTCTCCCTGTTCCTCCCTTCAGAAGCTTCTCCAAACCTCTCTCCTTCCTTAGGCTGTACCGGCCATTAATTCTGAAATCTCCTTTTGGGTCAGTTTAATAAACATTGAGACAGGTACATGGATGAGATAGGTATGGAGGGATACAGTCCAAATGCATGCAACTGGGGTTACTTTAATTGTGAAAACTGGGCGGCGTGGCCAAGTTGGACAGAACAGCCCGTTTCCACGCTGTAAGCCTCTATGATTCAGTGTCAAATTTTGCTTAACGACGTCTCCTTTGAAGCGCCTTGGGATGCTTTAGCTACATTAAAAGCAGCTATACAAATGCAAATTGTTGGTCATATGCGTGGGCCAGACCTTTGGGGCATGTGGTCCACCCACCATCGTCACTCTCAGAGAGGACAAGGTACACGTGGGATTCAAGACAGGACTTTTCTTTCTGACTTCCTTCACACACCTCAGCTTGGTCTGAGCACGTGTCCCATCAAACTGGCCCCACACGACTGAATGGCAAAATAAGTAACTTGCCTCTTCTGCAGCTGTGGCCCAGTTCATCCTAAAGATCAACGTCAAGAGGACGGAGGACAGCAGGAAGGTACCAACAGCCAATCCCGTCCAAAGTCCTGAAAGAAGCAACAAGAACCATACTTTTTGAGGTGCAGTATTGGGTTGGTAAAGGTGGCCTAGTATATGGAATAGGAAGATCCCAAAGAGATGGTACCAAGGCAGACAGTGCCTCTTATGTCAAGAGATTGACTCGATTCAGCCTGTACCCATTGCAGTGTAGACAAATGAGAGGTGTTCTTATTGAGGCTTTTGAGATTCTTATGGGATTTGAAAGAGTAGATGTGAAGAGGTTGTTTCCCCTTGTGGAAGAGTCTAGGACCAGACGGCACCATCTCAGAGTAACAAGGTCAGAGATTTAAGATGGAGATGAGGAGGAATTTCTCCTCTGTGTGTGAGTCCTGAATCTGTGGAAATCTTTACCGTTAAGGATTGATGAGGCTGGATTGTTAAGTATGTTCAAGGCCAAGATTGAGAGATTTTTCGATCTGCAAGTGAATCAAAATTTATGGGGAAAAGGACAGGAAAGTGGAGTTGAAGATAATCAGATCAGCCATGATCTCATTGAATGGTGGCGCAGATTGGGCTGAATGGCCTACTTCTGCTGCTGCATATTATGGTCTTGTAGTGGTCACATTACTGGGCTAGTAAATTTGCAGCGTGGACTAATTCTCCTGCAATTTTCATTCAAATCCCATTACAGCACCTGCGTTAGTTTAAATTCAATAAAATTTGGAATAAAATGCTAGTCTCTTGCATATCGTTTATAAAACTAATGGATTCTTGTCAAGACACATCATGTTCACTGCTGCCCTTAGGAGGAGGAAATCTGCCATCCTTACCAGATCTGGTCTACCTCTGACTTCAGACCCTTAGCAACATGGGAGACCCTTAACCTTGCTACCTATGGCCCACCAGGCCTCTGTGTTGTACCAAACAGCGACTGTAGTGTCAAATACTCAGGTGTTCCTTTTGCTGGAATTTCCACCAGGGCCTGGATAGAAGGGTCTTGTGGTGCAGTGGTAGCATCTCTACCCCTGGACCAGGAGGCCTGGGTTCAGGTCCCATCTGCTTCAGGGGTGTCATAACACCTCTGAACAAGTTGGCTAAGAAATCCCTGAAAAAGTTTCAAAACGACAGAGGGACAGCATAGGAACGTGAGAAATACTTGAAAGCTCAGCGATCAGGAGTTATCGCGGATTCTCAATGGAGGCACCACGGTGTAAGACCATATTTTCTATAGAAGGCCATTTTTAAGAATTAGCAGGAGAACGCATGACTCTCTTCTTTGGTATGTTACAGGCAAATGACTGAGTCTTCTTCACTATGTGTAGTCACCATGGTAATCCTATCAGCCCCTAATTTATTGGGGTGACTATTGAGGGAAAATTGAACCTGGTGGCCAAGACTTACCCAGAATTCCAAGCTTTGCGATAAACATCAACGAGATTCCGACAGGGATTCCAACAATGTAGAACACAACGAGATTGGCAACTGCTCCAATCTTCTGTTTCCCAGCTCCTCTGACAATCCCGCTGGCTACCCCCTGTGGAGGAATATAAGATTAGTGTACGTTTTGGGGGTGAAATATTGCAACTCCAGCAAAGAAGAGCCAACTCTCTAGAGTTCAATGGAATAAAAATTATTTGTAAGAATATTAGATGTAGGAGCAGAATTAGGCCATTCAGCCCATGAAGTCTGCTCCACCATTCGATCATGGCTGAGTTGTTTCTCAACCCCATTCTCCTGCCTTCTCCTGCTCCTACATCTAATATTCTTACAAATAATTTTTATTCCATTGAACTCTAGAGAGTTGGCTCTTCTTTGCTGGAGTTGCAATATTTCACCCCCAAAACGTACACTAATCTTATATTCCTCCACAGGGGGTAGCCAGCGGGATTGTCAGAGGAGCTGGGAAACAGAAGATTGGAGCAGTTGCCAATCTCGTTGTGTTCTACATTGTTGGAATCCCTGTCGGAATCTCGTTGATGTTTATCGCAAAGCTTGGAATTCTGGGTAAGTCTTGGCCACCAGGTTCAATTTTCCCTCAATAGTCACCCCAATAAATTAGGGGCTGATAGGATTACCATGGTGACTACACATAGTGAAGAAGACTCAGTCATTTGCCTGTAACATACCAAAGAAGAGAGTCATGCGTTCTCCTGCTAATTCTTAAAAATGGCCTTCTATAGAAAATATGGTCTTACACCGTGGTGCCTCCATTGAGAATCCGCGATAACTCCTGATCGCTGAGCTTTCAAGTATTTCTCACGTTCCTATGCTGTCCCTCTGTCGTTTTGAAACTTTTTCAGGGATTTCTTAGCCAACTTGTTCAGAGGTGTTATGACACCCCTGAAGCAGATGGGACCTGAACCCAGGCCTCCTGGTCCAGGGGTAGAGATGCTACCACTGCACCACAAGACCCTTCTATCCAGGCCCTGGTGGAAATTCCAGCAAAAGGAACACCTGAGTATTTGACACTACAGTCGCTGTTTGGTACAACACAGAGGCCTGGTGGGCCATAGGTAGCAAGGTTAAGGGTCTCCCATGTTGCTAAGGGTCTGAAGTCAGAGGTAGACCAGATCTGGTAAGGATGGCAGATTTCCTCCTCCTAAGGGCAGCAGTGAACATGATGTGTCTTGACAAGAATCCATTAGTTTTATAAACGATATGCAAGAGACTAGCATTTTATTCCAAATTTTATTGAATTTAAACTAACGCAGGTGCTGTAATGGGATTTGAATGAAAATTGCAGGAGAATTAGTCCACGCTGCAAATTTACTAGCCCAGTAATGTGACCACTACAAGACCATAATATGCAGCAGCAGAAGTAGGCCATTCAGCCCAATCTGCGCCACCATTCAATGAGATCATGGCTGATCTGATTATCTTCAACTCCACTTTCCTGTCCTTTTCCCCATAAATTTTGATTCACTTGCAGATCGAAAAATCTCTCAATCTTGGCCTTGAACATACTTAACAATCCAGCCTCATCAATCCTTAACGGTAAAGATTTCCACAGATTCAGGACTCACACACAGAGGAGAAATTCCTCCTCATCTCCATCTTAAATCTCTGACCTTGTTACTCTGAGATGGTGCCGTCTGGTCCTAGACTCTTCCACAAGGGGAAACAACCTCTTCACATCTACTCTTTCAAATCCCATAAGAATCTCAAAAGCCTCAATAAGAACACCTCTCATTTGTCTACACTGCAATGGGTACAGGCTGAATCGAGTCAATCTCTTGACATAAGAGGCACTGTCTGCCTTGGTACCATCTCTTTGGGATCTTCCTATTCCATATACTAGGCCACCTTTACCAACCCAATACTGCACCTCAAAAAGTATGGTTCTTGTTGCTTCTTTCAGGACTTTGGACGGGATTGGCTGTTGGTACCTTCCTGCTGTCCTCCGTCCTCTTGACGTTGATCTTTAGGATGAACTGGGCCACAGCTGCAGAAGAGGCAAGTTACTTATTTTGCCATTCAGTCGTGTGGGGCCAGTTTGATGGGACACGTGCTCAGACCAAGCTGAGGTGTGTGAAGGAAGTCAGAAAGAAAAGTCCTGTCTTGAATCCCACGTGTACCTTGTCCTCTCTGAGAGTGACGATGGTGGGTGGACCACATGCCCCAAAGGTCTGGCCCACGCATATGACCAACAATTTGCATTTGTATAGCTGCTTTTAATGTAGCTAAAGCATCCCAAGGCGCTTCAAAGGAGACGTCGTTAAGCAAAATTTGACACTGAATCATAGAGGCTTACAGCGTGGAAACGGGCTGTTCTGTCCAACTTGGCCACGCCGCCCAGTTTTCACAATTAAAGTAACCCCAGTTGCATGCATTTGGACTGTATCCCTCCATACCTATCTCATCCATGTACCTGTCTCAATGTTTATTAAACTGACCCAAAAGGAGATTTCAGAATTAATGGCCGGTACAGCCTAAGGAAGGAGAGAGGTTTGGAGAAGCTTCTGAAGGGAGGAACAGGGAGAAAAGAAGTGTTTGCAATTAAATCTGGTTGTATTTACTGACACTGCAATGGGAGGGGCAGAGTCAGCACCCATTCAATCTCATCACTGACCACAGCTGCACAGTACTACAGCAGTGTGGGTGACCCTACCCTCCGGCAGTGTGGGTGTCCCTACGCTCCGGCAGTGTGGGTGACCCT